CTTTCCCAATTAGACTGTAGCAGACCTCATACCTCAGGGCTTAGCACACATTCTTGCAGCTGAGGACGAAGCAGTGGCTGATAGAATTCTGCTATATTTCACTGCTTCATCCTGTCCTAGATTAGAGAGTGACCCAAGGAAGAAATCACCCGGCTCTGGTCCAAATTCCCAAGACATGTGGGATACCCAGCAGAGAGTTAATGTTTTGGATAAAAGTGACAACCGGAATGCTTCGCTTCTTGCTTCTGGTATCGAGTCAAGCCAATGTGCAATAAGTCAGCCTAAGACTATGACTCCTCCTCCTTCTTGGGAAATGGCAACCTGTGGCCTCTGGTCGGACACTTGCTCATGTTTGACATTCTGAACATTTCAATCTGGTAACCCTAAGTCAACTCCCCACTCTGGCCTCCATTCTAAAAAGACTGTGACCAAAGAAAGAGATGGTTCTTTGGCTTATGTGAACAAGCTCAGTTTTTCTGATGGCATCTACTTCCCTATGCTTAGAAGATGCCTTCCAACTATGGAAGGCGTAGGATCTGTGATCCAGATATCATCTTCCAAGTCTCAAGGGATACTAGGGACCCCGTGACCACTTGCTCTTTTATTGTTTGCCACAAGGGCACAGTATCCAGCATACAGACCCAGTACAATTCCACTGGTTTTGGAATCAAAGGGTCTAGGTTCTGCTCCCTAGCCCCTTAGTTTCCTCTTCTGTAATATGAAGGCATTAGACCAGTCAATCTCTAAAGTCTCTTATAGTTGCATATCCTAGTAGAGGCCATAAAGTTGTTTCACTCCCACACATCCATGGAAACAAATGTGACAATAGAGCCAACGTCTACAATCAGAGTGAAGGAGTTGTGAGTGTCACTGGTGTGTAGTCATTTCTGATTAAGTTGAAATTAAACCAGTTAGCTATAGCCTTGAATTGAGTGATGCTTTCCCACCAAATGTACTGTAAATAAAATTCACGATGCACTCCAACAGAGAACCTCAGACTATACGTTCTGTTTGTGAATGGAAAGACATCCTTTCATTGGGCAGAACCCCATGCATCATCTCTGTGGAGCTCCCTGGGCACATCCATTATCCACAAAGCCATTTAATGACATTCTAGGCAGTCTGTGGCAAAAGGAATAGAGTTTACTATTTACTTCCTAATAAATAAAGTTAATTACACTCATATGATTCACGACTCAGGATATAAAGCAAAGCAGCTACAGCCACAAATGGGAATACTCATTTTTCATCTGGGTGACAAAGCTAGTCATGAAAAAGCTCAAGCCAAATCCCTGTGTTCACATCAGGTTCATTTAAATGATAAGAGCAGGAAGCAGTTTTGAAGGAAATGAATAAGCCAATCCCAAGGCAAATGAACTTTGAGGAGAGGGCATGCCATATTATTGTTGCACTTTAGAGAGCTCACTAACCTGACCATTACTTTAATAGATAGGGCAACTCAAGCCATGCATTTGCCTTTCTATCGCTGGTGCTTTTGTGAAAATGTAATTATTTACTTGCCAAACAATCCCAGTGACAGATTGGACCAAAGTATATAAGCTGTCTACACCAGCAGATTTTTATCCTAAGGTAAAAATAAACAGAAACATCTGTAATGTAATCACGTACAAAGCTACATTTATTAACAAATGCATTTTCTAATAAAACACCATCTGCAAGCAACCCTGTACTTCCACTTGATATAAATAGGTCTTTTACTGTTTTCAGATGCAGTTCCCAGAAAATTATTCCAAGCCCAACTGCAAAACACATCAGTCTTTGTTGCTGTCTGGAATGGTAATAAATACGGTAACATCAAGTTTTAAAATAGTCCGACAAAATGATTGGTTCAAAGAAAATACTCTTAATTGAAAAGTTGACCTTTCACAATAAAATCGGCTAAAACTCAATCATTCTTATTCCTAATGTGAAAATGCTAAGAAGTTATGGAATGTCCTGGAAACAGCAAACACCTGTAACTGCGCCCCCTCCCCCCCTCCATCTTTCAATGACAGTTTGGGATCTTGTAACTCAGATACCTGCTTATCAGTAGATTTTCTGATAGACTTTGCTGAAGAGGGATTCAAACAAAAAAAAAATCATGCTATGAATGTAGATACCAGGCTCCTCTCACCAGAGTTTGACATTTTCAAGCAAGGGAAAAAAATTGGAGTGTTTCATCAATAAATGCTTCTGCACAATCCCTCAAAAGAACACTCCATTTTTACCATGGAACTGGAGACAGCTAGACTAACCAGTCCCAATGCTTGGAACTCTTGGTGCCGGGACCTAGTACTGAATTTAAGTGCTATTGAAAAATGCATCAAGATTTAATGGGGTGAATTTTTCAGAGTCTTGGTTAGAGTTTTAGCCACATAAATTCCATTAGGCACAAGACTGCATAACACTCCACCCTGTCTATGTTTATGCCCACACTTCTACCTACATTTTGAGCTCTTCCTTTGTTTGGCCACCTTATACCTTATTTCCTTTCCTTTTCATCACAGTGTTGGTTCACATTATTCTCTAAAACCTAGAAACTCCTCCATTTCAGAGTACTAAAGCTCTCTTTTGTCCCCTCCCTTCTAAAACCTTACTTACCTAGCATGGCCACCCACTCCTCCCCTCCCCCAACCCCTGCTTTCTTGATTTTGTCTTTCATCAATTTCTTATTAAGCCTTTATTCCACATGAACCATTTTCCACAAGAGGATGTTCTAGAGACAACATCCATTCCTCAGACAGGGGCCTTTTTTTCTTACGTATTTTACCTCATAGCCATCCTCTGCTCCTTGGCTAACCATCATGAAAGATGACTTTGCTGAAGCACTGCTTTAAAAGCAGACCTCACATCGGTAGCAACTCAGTTCCTCCCAATGACAGCCTCCAGCCAAAGTATGAAGGAATTTTCAAATCTAGGTCAGGCCTAGTGTTATTAAGGTTTTGTTTATTTTTGCTGCTTTCTGAAATACTATTAAAGGGAAGTGATTCAATGCGACTCAACTGTTGAAATAGGCCTAGGCCCAAATACCTATTTGGGTTCCTGGGTTCTCCAGGAGAGCCCTTTTGTGGCAGTGCCATTTCCTGACTGGTCCTGAGTGGCTGGCATGAACAGAAGAAGTTGATGACAAATGCTACCAAAGGAAAGGGAGAGGACAAGAGTTGAATTTACATCCCAACCCACTACAGAGTGTTCCTCTTCAAAGTCATACCTTTAAAAGAAAAGTTCCAGGACTGAAATCCCATAAAATATTGTACATTATCCATTGAGATTTATCTACAAACATACAAAATTCTATAGAATACCATTCTGATTAGTCAGATTTACAGTCAAATTATGGGAAAATAGTTAAAGTTGAATTTATTTTTCAAAAAATTCATTTCACCTTATGATACAGATAATACAAACAAGTATCTATGAAAAACTGTTACAAAAAGTAGAAAGTCTTCAGAAAGGAAAATATATGAAAAACAAACATTTAGAATACATCATAAACAGCCCAGTCCTCCCTTTTGGTTTTGGTGGATCTATCCTCTGAAATCATCATTATCTTCCGGGTAGGACTCAAAAAAAAGAGTTGAAATGTAGAACCAGAGAAATCTTTAGGGTGGTTGTCAGCTTGGTTGTAAGATAGAATGATACTTAGAGATCATCCAAGCTTAACACTGTCATTTTCCTGATGGGGAAACTGAGGACCAGAGAGAGTCAGTAACTTGTCCAAGGACACTATACTCGATAATGGTAGATAGAGTAGGGATAAGAGCCTTGTCTATCAAGCAGCCTATAAAATCCCAGGAATTTTGGAAATTCCAACAATTCCAATACCTCATACTGATTCTTATTTAGGGAAAAAAATAATGGTGATGTCATCTCTGATGGATCCTGTTGCTTCCAATCAAACACTTAGAGCTGGCAACACAGACAAGTGTACAGGGTAGTCTCTTATGAGGTATATGTGAGAGGTACTAGGAAAGACCACTCTTCCACAAAAAATCATCTCCTTGCCACCTGCAGGTACCACAGTACCTGAAACCCCACCATTAGCTCGTTGTTCCCTTAGGCTAAGTATTGACTTCCCCAGGCTTGTCTTTTAGCATGCAATGCTTCCCAGAGGAGGTAACTCCTGGAGTCCCTACCACTTCAGTCTGAATTCATTTATCGGCTCATTTTCTTTTCTGCTAGGATAAGCCAACATGCCTTGAGAGGACAGGGCTGTCTCAATAAATGTCACCAGTTTGTCTAGAAAGAACCAGGCAAGCATTGGGGATATTAAAGATTCTTAAAATATGCCTTCACCTTCTGGCTCCGGTAATTCATTCTTTCACATAGTGGCATCTTTATGTCTAGGCTACATTCTTATCTAGCGAAGACCTGCTGTCAATTATAAATTAGCCATGACCTTTCTTCCTTTCATGTATAAACTAAGATTACTAATCTGCAATGTACTTAAAAATACTAAAAGTATATTTCTTGGGGGAAAAATGTGTAATTCAGATTTTTCATCCTTTCAGACTGGCCTTCCCTCCTGTAACTCCAAAATAGTGAAACTGGACTGTATCTGGTGACCTGGGATCAGTGAGGAACAATACAGCTCAGTGTGGCGGCTCGAAGGCTGGCCTTGGAGTCAGGGAGCCTTGAGTTCTAGTTCAGCCTCTTCCACAAACTAGCTGTGTGAGCCTGGGCAAGTTATTGAAGCTCTCAGTGGCCCAGACAATTCCCTAAGAGCATATGTTACAGACAAGCTCTTGATCTGCATCGGTGGAAGGAGTTTCCACAGCAGAAGCTCCCTACGCCCATGAAATCACACGTCCAGACCAAAAAAAAAAATTAGTCATGAAGTTTAACCCTTTCGCTAAAGAAATTTAACCCTTCCACTGAAGAGAAAGGGTTAAACTGGGACGTTGAAGCTTCTCGTGTATCTTTTGCTCTACAAGTTAAATGAGAACTGACTGTAAACACAGTCAACTAAAAAAAATGCAGAATTGTAAAAAATTACTTACTTCACTTGGCTGAGGGATGGTGAGCTTTGGGAGTTTAGTCTTTGAAGTGGTTGCACTAGGTTTTCCCTCCAGCAGTGTCCCAAATGTTTGACTTGAATATCCACTCTCAATTTCAAGCATCGGCTTCAGTGTGGGGGAGAAGTCTGGTAGTTGCTCCTGACCATCCATGGGCCTCACGTAAGCAGTAGGCTTCTGCTGAACCATACTTGTTTTGCAGTAAAGGCCTTGTGGGAAATTTTGAATTGCAAGACTACTGGCTGCAGAGAGTAAAGATGTGGAAGGGAGCGGAGAAAAAGGCCCATTTGCTAAAAATTCAAAATCTATTGGGGACGGGCACTGAATGCTCTCTTTATAAGAAGGGTCTCCACCATTGGACTTTGAATGACTAAGTCTTCTTGAATGAGATGATGCTGTTGCTGCTGTGCTGGCATCCTCCATTCCTCCATTTTGGGGTTGTTCACTTGGACCGCTGAACAGGTCTTCAAATCTACCTTGAGGCTGATCATGGGAAGAGCTGTGTTTCATTCGACTTGGCTGACCAGTAGACTGGCTTGCCTGGGTAATGGTGGAACTGTGACTAGCCCGTGGCCAATCGGCTCTTGCTTTTCTGATGTTCTGGTGACTGTGTAATACACTTGAACTCAAGGTCACCGAAGTTGGGGGAGGCATTGATGTCGATGCGTGGCTACCACCCTGATGAGGTGCAATCATCCGATTTCTTTGTTCAGGAAAAAAGCTTGGTTCGTTTTTTTCAGTGGGAGTCTGGGGTACAGAATTCTTGGGGATTCCCACTAGTTGGCTCTGATTGGAATGATTGGTTAATAAGTCCTTCATTTCATCATAGTTTCCCAGCGTGTTCTGGACTCGGCTGGCAAGTGCATCACCTTTGTTTGTCTAAAGTAACAAAAAGATGGGGGTGAGAAAGGAGAGAAAGAATCAATAGGTTTGTGCTTAATAATGCTAATGATTCAAACAGATGCCCCCAAACGACTAGCAATTAGGGTAAGTTCAAATGGTCATACAACTTCAAAGTTTTCACAGGTAAGAAAAGAAACAAGTATTCAAAATGACCTCATAAAATCAACTAGAATGATTAACATTTGTGTACTTCAGGTGTTTTAGTTGAAAGCTAATTTTACATTATGCCACTTCTATGATTTTTATGTGAAAATCATTTAGTTTTATGTCAATGAGCATGAGCAGAGTTGTGACATTTGGTATCTAGATCAAAAGTAATGCATAACTCTGACCAATCAATCAAGTGACTGGCAATGGAACATTTTTCTTCTGTATGTTCTTAACTATTGCCTTCCCAACCTACACTGTCATGTAAAATGTTTAGCCCACTAAAAAGAGAAAGTGGCACTTCTACTGTACTAGAGTAGATGAGGATGCAAGGGTTGAAAACATATCATCTACTAATAAAATGTTAAGAGTCAATTTAAGATTAAAGAGAAATCCATTTTTTTAAATTAAAAGAACCACAAAAATGCACAGAACCTTTAGGTTCTGGGAGTATCAACGTTTTCAGAATGGTGATTCCCATTTACTTGCTCTGAAATGGCAGCAATTATTCAGCAAACAATGCCTCAAACAACACTATTGTCTTTTCAACAGCCTGTAGCAAAATGTCATCAACTAAACTGTTGCTTAACAAAGCAAAGGCAAGGATTATGTTTCTAAAAGTCCTGCTGCTTTAAATTTTTTTGAAGTAGTTGTGATGTATTAACATTGCTCCATCAGCACTCTGACATCTCTTTTTCTCTTCTTCAATCTCTCCTTATTCAGTGGCTTCCAGCCTACCACCATACACAGCAAGCTTTCTCTCACTTGACCATACCATTTCCTCAAGCTGTTGAGCTACATCTCTCTTCCTTTTCACAGCCACACTCCTAGAAAGAGTCTCAATTACACTTGCTGTCTATATGATTTCACCTCCCAAACCTTTGTAACCTGGCTTCTAACCCCACCAAGGAACTGAAAGAGTTCACTCCAAGGTTATCCATAATCAATTACCCTCTAAGTCCAATGGCCTTTTCCCAGTCCTTACTCTACTTGACCTCTCTGCAGTTTTTGCCACTGTCAACCATCAACTCCTCCTGAATACTCTCTTCTTCCTTAGCTCCAGGACACTACTCTCTTGGTCTTCTTCCTACCTATCTGAACACTCTTTATGAGTCTCCCTTGCTGGATAATCATCACTTTAGCCGCTAATTACTGGCATCCCCCAAGACTATGCGGTGGGCTCCTCTTCTTTTTATGCTATCTCTAGGAGATCAACTCCCAAGGATTCAATCATCTCTAAACAACCAACTTCCAAATCCATGTATCAAGCACTGAACCCTCTCATGAACTCCAACATCACTCTCTGTCACTGATATCTCCATCCAGATATCCTATAGTTATCTCAAACTAAGCATGTCTAAAACAAAACTCATTATATTTTCTCCAAAACCAAACTCTCTTCCAAACTTTCCCTTTTCTATCGAGGATACTACTATAATTCTAGTCACACAGCTTAATAATCTCAGTGTCATCCCTGACTTTTTCCTTTCCCTCCCCCATATATATTGGGTTGCCAAGTCTTATTGATTCTACCTCCACAACATCTTTTGCAGCATCTCCCTTAGCTCTACTCCTATGGCCTTATCATAGCTCATCTGGACTATTGAAATATTATCCTAATTGGTATTCCTCTCCCCTCTGCAATCCATCATTTGCAGAGATGCCAAAAACACAGATGTAATCATGTCATCCCACCATACCTACCCTTACCTTCCCCACAAAAGAACAAGGCTACAGTGGAAACATACACTTTTCAGTCTGGCAACGAAAGCCCTCCTCAATTTACTTCCCATTTACCTTTATAGTCTTATGTCATATTATTCCCATTCACACACTCTATGTTCCTAAGTTGCTAGCTGTCCTTGTATACAACATGCAGTCTGTGCAAAAGCTCTCCCCCATGTCTGGAAGATATTCCCTTCCATGCCTCCACTCACAGAATCCCTGGCTTCCTTCAAAGCATATTTCAGGCATTAAACTCTACTGGAGACCTTTCTTGGGCCTCATAATTGTTAGTATTGTCTCCTTCCTGATACAATTTTGGATTATTTTGTATACTTAATATTTACTTACTTGTTCACCTGCTGTATCCCCCCAGGAGCATGCAAGCTCCTTGAAGCTAGAGATTGTTTCATTTTGGTCTTTGTTTCCCCAGGACCTAGTATTGGGCCTGGCATAAAGTGGGCACTTGATAAGTGGTTGTTGAATTGAACTAGGTCCAATCTGTGAGTGATGGCATGTATGGAGGAGATCATTGATTGGGAGTAGGGAGAAGACATATGGCCATGGAAAATAGGCAAAACTAAGTATCTCACAAGGGGGAAAAAAGAAGCCTTGGTCTTAGTAACCATTTTGATACTGGATTTGAAGTCAGATGACCTGGGTTTGAATCTCAGTTCTACTATTAACTAGCTATGTAACCTTGGGTAAGTCACAAACTCCCTGAGCCTTTGGTTGAAAGAATGATAATATGACAAAGAATGATAAAAAAACATATTTCTATGACCTATATCACAGGCTTGGAGTGAGTATCAAATGAGATGATTCCCATAAGGTAAGATGTATCAAACTACCACAAGGTGCTAAATACTACCTTCATAGGTTGAGAGAGTTAATATATTTCCAGAGAAGTATCTGAAGTATCAAGAGAAATGCTTCAGATATTTCAGGTATTAAGCAAAAATAACTAAATCTGTATGCTTAAGTTTCTATTTTTGAGTAAAATGCTTTTTTACTCTATCTTTCACTATAACTTATATATTACAAGTAAATTACAAAATTCTAGCTTGATTCTGTTTTGGTCCAGATCTGTGATTCTGTCAGTGTAGAGAACTGCCAGTGTAGAAACTCCCTTTACTGATACAGACTCATAGTCTTAGAGAGTTAGATAACTTGAGCAGTAAGAAGTTAAATAACTTGCCTATGGTTACACAGATAATATATATCAGAATCAGGACTTGAGTTCAAGTTTCTCTGATTATAAGATTACCCCCTCTATCTGTTATGCCACATTGGTGCTCCCATTTTGCTTATTCATAGGAAATGCATCTTTTATAACATTCACATTAAAGGTTATGATTAAAAAGTTAACTTTCAGGATTTTCCTTAATAAAATAATTGCTGATTCTCAGGAGGAGTTTTGCATGATATATTTAGGAGGTAGAGTTAACTAGAAATCATTTTTATTCATCGAGAGTCTTTAGTTTGATAATTTCTTTTTCTGTAGCAGAAATTATATTCTGATCCAAGAACAAACAAGAGTTACACAACGAACCTCCTGGGTGGGAGCCAAAGCCAAACTCTAGTCAACTACCCAACTGAAAACAAGAAGACTTCATGGTGCTAAGGGCAAGAATGATGATGCAAGTGTTCAAAACTCTTAGATGGTTGCTGCTTTTGTCTAAAATTGATCACCATCTAAAAATATCCATGCTGAGGAGGGCAGCCCTCAACATTTCCATTTTGCATTTCATAAGTTTTCATTTTTTTATTTCGCTTTCCCTATAGGTCTCCCCACATAGGCAGCAGAATGTGGGAAAGTCTTCCCCTCTTTCTAGCTCTTATAACTACGGCCTTAGAACCAACAGAGGGGGCCACTTTTGTTTTTAATTAGACAAGTTCTAGTTTTAGTTTCCATTGCAGAGGTATGAAAAAGGGACTCGTTTACCATTCCTGCTTTACTTCCAGGTCCATTTCCCAATTTTGTTTACTTTTAACATAATTAGGTTTTTGGATGTAAGTGTGAATTTTTTAAAACTATCTAAGGTTAAATATAATTTTTCTGTATGAAAAACATCAATCTGATTTTGAATTTTAAAAGATATTTTTATAAAGTCATCTTTCCTTCCTTAGAACTCTCATAGCGCTTTACTTCCATTCAATTTAATTCAATTCAAATATTTATTAAGTGATTCCTACAGGCAAGGAACAGTGTTAGACACTGAGAAAACACAAACAAAAATGAAAATCTCTTCCTTCGAGAACCTTGCATTCTATTAACAAGATTCTGCACAAACAAAATCAATGCAGTTAGAATGAGAAAGGAATCAGTTAACTGGGGGGAAAATTTTTGCAGCAAATTTCTCTAACAAATGTCTAATATCCAAGACATACAAGGAATACATACATATATATTATGCATGTATGTATATATATGCATACATATATACATACACACATATACATACACACATATAAGAACAAGAGCCATTCCTCCAATAGATAAATGGTGAAAGGATATGAATATACAGTTTTCAAAAGGAGAAATGCTAGTTATTAATAACTATGTTTAAAATTCCAAATCATTAAAAAGAGAAATACAAAATAATGTAAGTCTGAAGTCCCTCTTGAAACCCATCAAGTTAGCAAATACGGTAAAAGAAGAGGATGACAATTGTTGGAGAGGCTTGGGGGGGTGGGGTAGGCATGGTGATGTACTGCTGATGAAGCTGCAAAAAAGTCCAGCCATTCTAAAAAACACTTTGGAACTAGACTTGTAAAGTCTCTAAGCTGTGCATACCCTTTGACCCAGTAATGACATTATTAGAACTATACCCCAAAGGGGTCAAAGACAGAGGAAAAGGACCCAAATGCACAGAATATTTATAGCAACATGTGTTTTTATTGCAGGAAGGAAGTAGGAAGTGAGTTCCCATCAAGTTGGAAGTAGATGAACTAATTATGGCATAGGAATGTAATGGAATATCACTACACCACAAGATATGACAAAAGGGATGCTTTCAGAAAAAGCTGGAAAGACTTTAATGAACTAATGTAGAGTAAAGTGAGTAGAACCAGGAAAACAATTTATATAATGAACTACAATAATG